GGCTATCGATATATAGCACGTTTAGCGCATAGAACGGCTTTAAACATCATTTATAGTCCGCATATTAGGTCATGAATCACTGTCGGGGAAAGTTGCCACTGTAGTAATTGCACAAGAACCGCGATGGTTCGTGCTCGACTCGCCGGCAGCGCGCATATCACTCGCAAGAGACGCAAACCGTAAACCGTCAACGTGCACAGTATTGACTGGTGGCAGCCATCGTTACCAGTGTTATAACTCGAGTGGCTCGCTCAACCCTCTTGGTTCGCGCAGGAACGACGTTGTCTCCTCGGATATCACAAACGACCGGGCTCTCGCGCGGGCCCTAGAAAAAATATACTTGTTTTTTGTATAGTGTAGGTGGCGTTGAAAACGTATACTTGTTTTTTGTATGCATTCGTATCGGGCCCGGTACGCATGCAGGGTGATCTGAGTTCTTGCGCCATCTGATTTTGAGGTTCAACAAGTGACCATCCACCGACGTGGTCGACGAACGATGCTCTCCCACCAAGTGTGGGTTCTCGTGTGCCAACGGCAACCTCGCTTCGTGGAGAAGGTGAGGTGTCTGTGAACGTTAATTACAGGCCGCGTTGCGCCCAAGCAACGAAAATGGATCACCCTATATCGAAACCACTACCGGTCAAAGGTCGCGCACCAGGTTTTTTGCACAGGTCCCGGTGCGTCGTCGAGCTTGCACCATTACGTACCGGCGGGAGAGAGAGAGACGAGTAACAAGCCGCCAAAGAGAACATGAACCCATCGCTGCTGGCCGGCGTGGGCCAACGCGTAATCGGGTCATGCCAGCTGGCACCACCTTGCCTTTGCGACCACCGCACAAAACGAACGGCCGGCGCTGCACCCAAGTCGTCGAAATAGAAAGGACGCGATGACGAAATTCGCAGACCCGGCGACTACAAACTACTTTCGTCTTCTCACTTTTTGATTTGCCTCCAAGACCAACAAGATGGCCACGACTCAGAAGGAGCTCGGACAAATGGACCTCCAGGAGCGCGTCTCCTACATCCAGTCCGCGACCAAGGACAAGGATGCCGATGGTGACTACACCGACGCCAAGACGCCCGGTGAGCTCGAAGACGGCGCACTCGTTGCCGGTGGTGCGCTCTCGCTCGCCTC